AGAAACCGGGTTTCGATACCCGTGGTGGGCAGAGCACAGATAACCCTTGTGTAGCTTTGTGCATAATTAAAAAAACAAACAAAGTAGTTCATTTGTTTTAGAGCAATGCTATATTTGGCAATCGGCTGTGTTCGTGGTGGGAACAATACCCTGGATTTCAGTGATGTAAGTTCATAAACATATTGCTATCCTGCTCAGAGTAGTCAGGACCCACTAACTAAAAGTTCAGAGGACATCAACTCATGGAATGTATGTTTTCTCCAAACTCTGACCAAATTAGTCATACAGAAAGATACAGAACACAAATAAAGATTCTGTATTTTAAAATAACAGATTAAACCAAACATAATACAAAACACATGGGGCAGTCTGTATTGGTCAGTGTGGAACTAACAAGACATGTGACAAAACCTTTAATAGCTTCCTTTATCAGTTCAGTGTATTCTTGCTTGCAAGATAAACTAAAAGTTATTATCTGTAACATCCCAAATGCTTATGTTTAACTTTCGATATCCATTCAAACTTACAAAAATTTAGTCTTAAGAGGTCAAACTTAGGTTTTTGTACAAAGCACAATAATATCAACAAAGCCAGGTTTGCACATGACTACCTTGCAATCACCATTTTTGTTCATTTTGAACAAGCTGTTATCCAATTTGCTGACAGAGAAAACAACCATCTATTCCAGAAAAACCACAAGCTATCTTTTCAGAAACAAAACATGATAAATTTCCAATAAGTAAATTCAAATCCTTAATGCACTGGAGGAATGTGAATTTGTTCAACTCTACATCCAAACTGAACTGAAAGAAAATATAGAAGTTTTGAAAAATCTACAAATTTCATGAGGGGGCATTTATGCATAGTACAGCTTTGTACAACACTAGAAACCTCTAACAGTTTTTATTTCAAGAATTATTTTCTCAAATGTATGTTTTGAGAAATGTTATTTTTGACACCCTGTCTACAAATCAAGGAGACCAAATTTGAGGGATGGGTGTGCTTCAGAGGGGGAGTCATGCTTTTCACTATTCAAAAATGTACTCCAATGAAGGACTCATTCTTTTAACTTCAATAAACATTTTACTGCCAAAAGAACTCGTACCTTACTAGTGTTCAGCCACAAAGCTATGGAGTTTAGGCCAAGCTGTATTCCTTTTTGCACAAAATAGTAGAAGTGTTCAAGCAGGTACTGTACTTAGCAGGTGAGTACTGTTGAGCCTTCTTCTGCCATATTTATCAATAGGTCCAATGAAAACTATGTAAAAAATGGCTTTAAAGACACAGGGAACAACATTTTGTATGGTGAAATATGTGTAACTACTATTATATTTTGTGTGGAATTTTGGATTAGGGTATGGGTTTTACTTCTTCATAGTCTGGAAACTAATATGAATTTGGCCACACTGATAGGTAGTTTTAGGTTTCAAGTATCATATAGAATTCAAATCTATTCAAAATACTCAAAAAAGAAGAGCATCAGAAAGCTTTATTTGTCTATCAACCCATCAAATATGTCTCTAACTCAAAGTCTAGGTGTTAAGAAGAAACAGTTTACATCTGCAATGTTTCTTTAATTGAATAATGTAAAACATTTTAAATAGATATATTGTGATACTTTTTTTTTTCATACGGGTTTTGTATTGTAATTGAGAAAGTTGCAGGGTTAGTTACAGTAAAATTTGTGAAATATACAAGTAATCTACAGTTTCATCAAAAAACAAAAATATTTCAGTGGATCTATTATTTCCATACTACTTCTTGCCATGTATTACATTTCAATACAAAACTTGACAGCCTTCAGTATGATAATCTTATAAAAATGCCAGTAAGCTATCCATGCTTCATGTGATAAAGCTGCATTAGAATCTGATATATCATCTACCTCTAAACTTCTGGTAATTAGTCCACAGCAAGTTGAATTTATTGATTTAAAAAAAAACATTGGTGTAACAGTACAAATGTTACAATACATCATTAAAAAAAAAATAATTAAAAATTGAGTAATATTACAACTGTGTGCTATTGTTGTTATATTTTATTGTAATACCATACTAGGTATATACACACACACACATTAATTTTATCTTCTTAATCTCAGTGAGTTTCTTTTAGCATATCATATAAAATTTGGAGCAATCAGTACAATAAAATTTTCCACAAAACTTGTTGAGCTGAAAATTGCATGAATGACAGTCTGAATAACATGTACAAACACAGTAAGTAACTGTAATAATTATAATATGCTTATACTAAATCATTATGACCACACAGAATTATAAAAGATTCAATTTAGTTTTATCATGAAAGAAACCAAAGCCCCAATAAATGTTTTCATATATTATAATAATTATATTACTTGCAAAATATTTCATAAAACTAAAGCATATACATAGTTGTATAAAACTACATTATAAATTTCCAAATTATTCAAATTCTCTTCAATTAAAACCAAAACAAATTCACTACTGTTAAATATTACATGCTGTGTTCAACAGACATAAAATTCTGAGATATTCTACTCTGTTTTTGATGCCACAAGTACATGGCTTATAACAGTATATAGCAGTCTCTTCTTTCATTTGATGTAATGCAAATTAAATACAACAAATCTGATAAGCTCAATAAAGTTTCAAATTATCATATAAACTCAACTGTTTTGGGTAAAGTCATCCACAGTGTCATAGTTATCACATGTAACTAATCAGGTAAGTTGGATAAGCTTTCAAGTTATCATATGTCATATAAACTGTACTGTTTTGGGTAAAGTCATCCATAGTGTCATACTTATTACATGTAACTAATCAGGTAAGTTGGTAAGCTTTCAAGTTATCATATGTCATATAAACTGTACTGTTTTGGGTAAAGTCATCCACAGTGTCATACTTATTACATGTAACTAATCAGGTAAGTTGGATAAGCTTTCAAGTTATCATATGTCATATAAACTGTACTGTTTTGGGTAAAGCCATTCACAGTATCATATCGTGTCTCTGCAAATTGCACTTTTCCTTCAGCAATAACATTTGATGACTTTGGAGGAGGCATTCGCAGGTTAGAATTTGGGGAGAGCCTAATGCTATCACCTGTAAGAACAAGAGCTAAAAATATTTCTTTTGCACCTGATGAATTCCTGTATGCATATGCATCAGAATAGCTGGCATTCTCAGCAAAGTAATTGGCATTTCCCCACATTCCTTTTGCACTAAAGCGCATGTCAAATCCCTCTTCATTGTCATAAATCCTTTTTGGCTCATTATTGCGAGTACCATGAAAAAGAAGTTTTTCACCAACTGAATTAATGTTTTTCATTTCTAGGAGCTCTTTATGCTGACAATATTTCTGCCATAGCCAAAGGTTTTGGATCCTAAAAACTGTAGTAATTTTTTTACCCATAATAGTGGAATGAAACTTTTGCTCAACTCTTGAATATTCTGACGATTTTGAATCAAGAGGGATTAATGCAGTTGTTTTGTTTTGCTGAGTGTCCCAGTGTGGTGGGACATTAAATGTGCTTTCCCTGGGCATAGATTCATGATATGCTAATATTTTTCCTAATATAGCAGCCTTGCCAGAAACAACATTTGATGTACTTCCTTCAAGATTAATAATATATTTTGTACTGTCAAATGTAGAGTCCTTTTTAAAGCTGTATATAACTTTATTTTCATTACAAATATGCTTTATTTTAGATAACAGATGACTGAGTAAGTTATAAGATACATTAATTTCATCCTTCTTGAACATGTCTTTCAATTTTTGTTTTAACAGTGATTCAGCTTTTGACAGTCTGGACTGTGGACCAATAAGTTTTACTAATAAAGGTGTGTTTTCAACTGGACTTGTTGCATTGAGGGAAAGGTCAAGAGGTTTTAAATCCTCTCC